AAAGGGGGTGGAAAGAGGCGGGAGAGGGGGGGAAGGGGGGGGAGAAGGGGGGAAGATGGGGAAGGAGGGGGGGAAGAGGGGGGGAAGAGGGGGGAAGGGGTGGGGTAGAAGGGGGGAAGGGGGGAAAGAGGGGGGAAAACAGTGTGCATGTGTGCTGACGTGAAAGGCGGGGTGGGGGGGAAAGCGGGGTGGAGAGGGTGGAGGAGGGGTGTTAAACTCAGGAAAGCGCCACGGACCTCCCCCCCTCCCGGGTTCTATTACTGCTGTCACCATTCACTGATCTGTATGTGTGTCGGTCACTTTCCAACACAAGGGAAATGAGTGTGCCGTATATGATGGGTTATACACATCCGTGCGCTTGGGGTAGGGTACAGGATTCGTATGGGGTATGCGGGAAAGGTGGTACGGAAAAGGGGGTGTAGAAGTTCAAGTAGAGTTGAGGGGGAGACATCCCCACCTACCCTCGACCCCTCCACCGCCTTTCGGACGACGTCGCCGTACGACCCGGAACCCAACACATATCCACACCCCCACATTCCCCTCCCTACGCGACCACAGCTACTAAAACACACACGCAAACACACGCTCCCCGTCCCTCTGCCCACACATGTGCTGCTGTTACTGCCGATCCCTCGCTGCTACTGCTGCTACTGCTGGTTTGCCGTACAGATCGTGGGCTTCACCAGGTGAGTGGATGCGGGTGGGGGTGGAGGGGGGCTGTGTGGCGAGTGAGGGGGGGAGAGCGGGGCTGTTACCAGGGGACTGGGGGGTAGCTGTACAGCAGTACGGCAACATGGTCAGCGGGTCTCTTTCCTCTCTCTCGCGATACACATACACACGTACGCCCCTCCAAACCCCCCCTTGCCCTCTCTTCCCCTCTTCCTTTCACTCTCGGCCCCCACAACCCCTCTCCCCGCTCCACCCCCCACTCACACTTCTCTTCCCCCCTTCCCCCTTCCCCCGCCCGCCCAATACACACACATACACACATACGTACACGTGTCCCGACAGCATGTCTAAGCAGGTGACCCCCCTGGAGGTGATGACCTTCCTCAACCAGCTGTATTCGAGGTTTGATGCTCTGCTGGACATTTACAAGGTCTACAAGGTGGGGTGTGTGGGGAGGGGGAGGGAGACGGAGGGAGAGGGAGAAGTATTCTGTAGTAGTTCTGTAGTTAGTTAATATAGTTAGTTAATATAGTTAGTTAATATAATAATAATGATGGAGGTTGCTTGCGGGGTACGGGGGAGGGAGAGGTGGGGGGAGGAGGTGGGGGAAGTGTTTAGGGGTTACACAGTGCGGCACCTTAAAATGGGTTACCTTTCTTTGAGCTACTGGGGCTCGGAAAGAGGCACACATGTACACACATACATACAAACAGGCAGGCGGCTGGCAGAAGTTAAGGCCTGACTTCTGCTCCCAGTCGATCCAGTCGACCCGGGTTCAAATCCGCCTGCCAGCTCCTCGGGTGTTTGAGGAGTGATGAAATGGGAGGTGGCCCCCCATCATATGGACGGTGTAGGACGTGATAATATCAACTTGCGAGCTGACCAGGAACTAAGTTGATGCGCCGTTGATCCGCTAGATTTGGTTGGATGCTGGTGGTGAGTTGCCGAACCCAACGAATACATTCTGAAGTCGGATGGGGTGACGGATTAGGGTGCCCCTCTAGCAGGGGAGAGCAGGGACTGCCCCGGGAAAGGGGGCCGCTGGCGAAGTTAACCACCCTGTAACAACATACATACAAACATACACACGCACAAAAAGATATTCGTGTACCACCATCGGCGTTTCCTTCATCGCGGCTCAGATCATTAAAACACACGCGCGCGCCTCGGGGGTCCCAGGCATTCAGACTGCACTCCCCACCATCACTCTGCGGTTGTACGGTTGTACGGCTGTACGGCTGTACTGCACAGGTTGAGACCATTGGCGACTGCTTCATGGTGGCGGGTGGTTTGGTGGCTCAGGACGAGGAGGGTTGGAGGACGACCATTACGCACGACCGGCTACATGCCGTACGAGTGCTGGCGTTTGCAAAAGTGGGTCCGTGCATATGTACATATGTATGCAGGGGCAGCGGTAGCGGTGGCCCGCGCACGTTCCCAACCACCACCCACCCGTCAAAACCCGCGTTTCCCCCTCCTCGCTTTCGCAGCTTCCCCCACTCACCGCACCGCACCTCACCGTGTCGGAGTTCTCGCTTTCACCGGTACCGTTAGCGTTACCGACTCCCAACAACCTGCCTCTCCCCCCGCTCCCTTCCCCCCTTCCCAACCCCTCCCCCCCTTCC